AGTGAGTTGGGGATGTGGTTTCTAAGTGTGTTCAGCATTCAAGATCACTGATCTGTTAGTATCCTTCTGCCAATGGACCACAGCATAACGAACACATATAACATTCCATGTTCCATTCACATGCTATCATGTTGCTGGGTGCTGCTGCCCACTGCTGCATTTGAAGTTTTCAAGTTCAGAACCCAATTTCTGCCTAACATGAAAGTTGGTAGGTTACCATTGGCATTTTGCCTTTTCCATACAGAAAGGACTTTGCATTTCAAATGTAAGACTTCTAAGAGTAATCAAAATAAGGTTTTAAAAAAATCGGACATGGAAGTGAGAGAAGATAAACTTTCATCTTGGTTCAAAAGTTATGTTATATGATTCTGTATTGCTGAAGAAAGATAAATGTCATACATCTTGAGAAGCTGCCAAGAGATACACCAGCACGTAGCTTCTATAACCTTTACAACATGCTTCAGCAAGAGCATGTGGGGAATGTAAGTGAAGCTTCATGCTACGTAAGTGATCCAGCCTCGCACCACAAACTGGGGTAGCCAGGGGCAAGTGGGGACTGTCACTGCCAAAGTTATTTTTCAAAGACACAACCAATTTTACATTAGTTGAAATCAAAACTTTTTACTGAAAATTTAAATTAACAAATATGTACTGAGAGTCTGCTGTGTTCAAGATGAAACGAACACGCAAATTATACTCGGTACTACATCTGTAGAGATATTTGCTTCCCTGTTTTCATTTACGTGGGGCCCAAAAATGAGTTCATCTGGCACAGAATTCTGCCTTCTACATTTGTTTTATAATAACTAGAAAAAGCTGTAACTTCTTGGTAGTGAGATGAGTGACAATTAAGTATTACTGTTCTCCTTTACATTCTTAAGAGCCATTCCAATTAATTTTTAAAATATTGTTGAGTGTTTGGAAAGTTTTAGGACTGATTCTTTCAAAAGTAATTTTTCCACACATGCCCCTATATGGTAATAATACTTTGCTGTGTATGGTAATAACTAGTGAGGTTCAATTTCAGAAAAGCCTGAGAATGTGGCATATTTTTATGAGTGTTCATGAGCACTGCTGATAGCCAGAGAAGCCAAGGGGTTGGTAGAGCTGACAGATTAAGCAGGAGCCGAACTGGACATGCAGATACAAGAGCATGACTAATCCCGAGATGACCTTACATTCATGTGGCTGTCTGAGATCAGAAGAACATTGTGTAATTTGAGTGTTTGGTGTGAATAAAAGCTATGATAAACCTACTGTGATTTGGTTATTCAGTGATACACCTCAGACTAGATCATTTGGGACTGAAGTTTTACATTATGAACTGTATGTTTTAAAAATTCTTTTATGTTTTTAAAACTTTATCTTAAAGTTTATTATGTTTCTGTCTATAAAGAGTAGGCATTGTTGTTCTGATTATGATGTTTTACTAGGTTTATAATTTTTACCCCTTGCATCTTTTTCCAGAGATCTTTTTTTTTCTTGCTGTAGCAGGAATAGGAAAAACAACCAATGTGCATTTTGGTGTGGATTGGGATGGGTCATCTAAATAGAGCAGAAGGGAAAGTGGAATTAGGACAACACAGAAATAAAAACCAAATTTTTTTGATAGTTGGCCAGTGTCTTGATTTTTAAGGGTCTTTGACTTAAAAAGGCTGCCTACACTCTCTGGAATTCATACAATATGATTACAGACATTACAGTTTCTGATTTTAGATCAGCCAACAAGAATTTATATGCATTTTTTTGTCCTCAATCCATTGGTCCATCTGCTCAGTCACTCAGCTAGCCAGCAAACATTTACTGAGGCACAGGTAGATCCAAGGTAAACATTGGCCAATACTGAGATTATAGAAGCAAAATATAGTTACTGTTTTTAAAGAACATGGAGTCCATGTAGGTTAGGTATTTACTCCCTTTCCCAGGATTTAAGGTGATAGCGTAAGGATATAATCAGATGCTGAATGATTTCAATTCTTTTATAAGGTCAAATTTGTCTTTCTTTTGGTTGTTGACACAATTCATGGGGAAGAGAAGGCCATATCCTCATCATCCTCACATGCCGGGTTCTGATTTCACATTGAGCTTACTTGACCGCACTCTGAGGAGTGTGGATGCTTTTTCAGGTTATGGCTCACATAGAAAATGACAATATTTTTATGCCACACCAAGGTAAATAGACAAGGCAACTTGTAGCCAGATACCGGCCTCAGGGGTTCTACACCTCACCTTGTGTGGCATCCAGAAAGTTGAGGAGAAGCAGTATCTCTACATACCTGTGATTCATCTATAGCATACCTGTGCACTATCAGGTACATTGCAACCTGTGCAACTGCGCAACATTAACTCCAGGTTGCGTCTTATTTGCTGATGCAGGGCCCCCTAATTTTATTTTCATGACCAGTTTGAGCATGTTAATTAGAGGGTCTACATGGTTTGTTTTAGTAAGAGAATATATAGAGTTCACAGCATAGGTAAAAAGTACTACAGGTTGGAAACAGCTTCTTATAATGAAAATAGGCTGGCTCAGGAATTAGTAGTCCTTGACTTTTCTGACTTGCTCACTTTTGGAAAATCACTTCTCTCTGAACTTTAATTTCCTTACCTTTAAAATGAGAGGGATTGAACAAGATGAACTTTAAGCTGCCCTCTAGCTCTAATACGCCATCATTTTCTACTGCCTATAAATCTTTGCTGTTGTGTCAACTGCTTTGCCTGTTTGCTGTGTCCTAGGCACTTAGTAAATGGTTTCCTGCACACCCTAGGGCCAGCTTCATGGAGTTCTGAGGTCTAAGGTTACTGCTTAGGTGATGGAGGAATTGAAATCAAACTAAGATGCTTGATAAAGAAAAGAGAATGTCTAAAAGGAATGAAGCAAACTGTAATAACTAAAGGCCTTCAGTGTCTTTTAAATGTACTCAGATGGTAGGTGTTGCAGTTCAGAATCTTCCAAGTAGCTACACACCTCAGTTAAAGTTGGCAACTTCGCAACCTTAACATCTTAGGATAAGTGTTTCCAACTTGCATTTCTAGAAATACTTGTTGCAGAAACATCAACTATCTAAGCATATATATAAAAGTCAAATCTTGATTATTCAACTTGATAGAAGAAAAGTGAGTCTTAAGAATCCCGTTAGGAACTTCCTGTCTTTTTTGGTAGTTATCTAAGCCCTTTCTGTCTGGTACGGGTTGGGTGGATGAAGTTGCCTAGCTGGAGAGCGGTAAAGAGGGCCAGTGGTAATGCTGGATAATCAAGGACTGGCTGCATTATGGTGACAGTCGTTTGCCCTGATTGTAGACTAGAATGGTAGCATCTGTTCATTCCATGAATGTTTTATTATTTATTTACCCTATGTCAGACATTTTCTAGAAGCTAGAAATTCAAGCCTGAGAGGTTCCTAGTATAGTCAGTCAAACTCTGACAGACAGACAGACAGACAAATATACATAATAGAGTGTTATCAGTATAAGAAGTTTTAATAAACATGTTAGTAACTAATTTGTTATGTTCAAAACATATAAATTCTCCCTCCTTCATGTTTTCTATTAACCAAAAAAAAATGGTGTGTTGGTTACATTTAAAAAGGACAAAACTACATCATGCAGTCACGTATCAGAAAGTACTCCTAAGTGCATAAAAATTCACCCAGTAATGTGTCCTTAAGGACCATAATGTTTTGTATCCAAACACAAGGGGCTACATATGCGCACGTGTTTGTATATATGTATATAGTACACACATAATGTACAGATGTGTGTAATTTTCACTCATATGTGCTCAAAAAGGATACTTGAACTGTGGGGTAAATAAACAGAAGTCCAGGGTTGTGTCAGCGCTTGTATGTGTTTGTGAGTATGTATGGGGGGATTGGGAAGGAAAGAAGGGAGAGAAGCAGGGAAACAAGAAAGAGAGAGAAGGGAAAAAGTACTCAGTGGTCTTAGAAGGAACCACAGTAGTTAGTAAATTTTGACTTACCTCCCACTACCCCATCTAAAACTTTTCTGTGTTGAGCTGAAACTAGTGTACCATTAGTCATTCCATCAACTGACGTATCATTGGAATTAAGTTGATCATTCCCCCAAATCAAACAAAATGAAAAACAGAATAATTTTAGTTTAAAAAATATCCACAGATGTTGTAAGTGGTACTTATGTACTCCAACAACTGTGATAAAGAAAATTTGCTGAAAGTTCTTCCCAAGCAGAAAAAAATTTTAACATCTCAGGGAATTTTTTCCTTTACTGGCCAGAAATTCATTCCAAGAAGTACCAGCCTGTCTCATTTCAAAATGCTTCCCTTGCCAAGGAAGCGGAAGCGGTTGTATTCTTTCCCACCAAACTGTGGGTGAATTATAATTATCCTACCTCGTGTGGGACAATGGAGCAGCAAACATCTGCTGCACTGAATCAAAAACCCACGAAGGAAGCTATACCAAACTGTGAATCATACCTGGACTCAGATTAAAGGATTCCTGTTGTGTTTACCTTTGTCTTTATTTTCTTTGCAATTTAAAGTATGGATTTGTCAGCTCTGGCTCCATGTCTAACTGAAGGGAAATGTATGGAACACATTTGTTGACTCCGCTTTAATATTTAAAGATCCCAGCTTTAGGGCAGATGGACAGTTATTGTTAGTAGCAATTTTTCTATTTGATTTGTTATTGTCTCCTCAGTTTCCTTTGTTTAAAAAAAAAAAGATGGTACAGTTAAGAAAATGTACAAGTGTGCAATCTGAGAAGTGAGATCCTTTAGTTATTCTGCTATAATGACAGTAATAGAGGAGCGGAAAATTATATTTTAAACTTTATTTCCAAGAGAAACAACCTTCAAAACTACTGTTACTTATAATTTTATGTATCATGGTATTTTTGGTAGTACCAATCAGTTCACCTAGAGTAAGGAAAGGAAAATGGAACTTCAATTGTCAGTTTTAGCTGTGAAAACGTGATAGTTTACTTGCTTTAAAAATATTTTTGTGCCTTTTTATTTTTATCTATTAGAGAGCAGAAAGACAAACTCGAATTATGGATTCAGCTCAATATGCAGAATTCTGTGAAAGTCGACAATTAAGTTTCTGTAAGTAAGCATTTAACTTGCTTCATTATATGTTTAAGAGATTATGTGTTACAGATATAGTAAAGTATGACACAATCTCTGGTCCTTAGAAATTGGTGAATTTAATATGTGCATAGTTATAACTGCTACAGAAACAGTCTCTGCATTGTTGGGGAGCCTATAAAAGATTTTACCCCACTCTCCTGTTTCACAGTTAATAGTAGTAAGGGTTTTAAAGGATGTAAGTAATACACAGACAGCCATGTTCATTAATCACATAACTTTTAGTCAGAAAAATTCCATTTTTCTTAATATTCCCATTTTAATTTCTAGTTTCTTAGTCATATTTACACTAGTATTGCAGATTGTACTTGACCCATAATGGACTCTCTTGGTATAGTCATGACATTTAAAAGCCCCTATTACGTATTAATAAGTACCCAATATTTCATTTATTTATGCATGCTCATATTACCACAGACATACATACGAAGAATCTCTTCCATCTTTGTTTTGTAACTGTTAGCCAAACCCATTAGGCTATGCTCCTGGAACACGAGTGGTGAAATCAGCACTGCTCGCCATGGCACACAGGCTTACTAAAAGTACAGTAAGGCTCACGATAAATAGTGGGCCCAATTGTGTAGCAAAACATCCTTCCAGCACTAGTTCAGTGATGACTAAGCCTCTCAGGGTCAAGGTCAAAGAGTAAGTGTGATGCAAAGTCCAGTCAAAGGTCTGACAAAGCAGCACATGGCCCAGCTGAGGAGCTGTGCGTACAATGGTGTCTTTGCACGAGAAGCTGTTCTGTGGTCAGTGACAACGCATTTGATTGGGAACAGACAATGAGAGCTTCGTTTATGGATCATAAAGTGCAAATAAATGACACATTTCAAATAGCACCACATGTAAATGTCAGTAAAATATAGGAAAACATGTTTTGGAAGATTTTTTCCCAACTAAATATACTTTGCAGTCTGACTAACAATTTGGCATCATACATCTGTGAAGCATTAAGTAAATGACACTTCAGATCATGGCAATTTCAGCAAATGAGAGGTTTTTGTATTGTAAATTTTAGGTTTAAAAATGGCATTCAGGTCTTTTATAAGGAAAAATCTCCAGTTTATAAGGTAACATTTAGTGTTATTGAACTATTTTTTAAAATCATATTTTGAATTTAATTCACTTAAAGGAACAGAAATGTTATTTCATAGTCATTGAAGTGTCCTAATACACCTTTTGTTCTCAAGTCAGATTTTTAATAACTCCATTTGTTTGTAACTCCATAATAAACTGTAGCAGATTAAAAATTACTATTTCCCCCTTTTTATAAAATAATAATGGTATGAATAGTATATTATGCTTTATTTCTTCTTCTTTAAAAAAAAGTCAGTAGGGCATTTAAAAATATTTCTTTGTATGGTACCCGTGGGTGCGTCATTATAACACTGTAGTGGGAGAATTTGTTTTATATGCCAAAATGCTGTGGTTGGGAATGCTTAATGCAAGTGGGTGAGCAAATTCAGAACTGATACCTGCACTGGTTCCAGTGTTAGGCTCTTTTCATTCCTGCCCTTCTGATAAACTACCAACATATAGGAACTGGGATAGCTATGCCTTCTTCAATGGTTGACCATAGTGTTCACCCATCGGGATTACTGGTGCATTTTAAAATAACAAGTCTACAGCTTTATAGGCTGAGGGTGAGTTGTAGAATCCAGACACTGGTCAGATTCACCAGTCTTTTGTTTTTATATTTCTGTCAGTCGTTTCCCTGAAAGTCTTTCAAAATCTGGTATTAGTATTAACCGTAAAGATTTAATTTAGTTATAATTTGGTAAATCTTTTTCCAGTCCTTTCCTTTCAACCTTTTGTTTAATATGTGAATTTTGTAAACAAATATCTAAGTTTTCTCTTTAGTCAACCTGAGAGTCTCTTTCTATTTTAATTGATGAATTTACTTTATCTGTATTTAATTATGTATCTGGGTTTATATACGCTGTCTTCTTTTGTGTTTTAAATTTACTATGCTTTTTTATTTGCTTTTCTTCCTTTTCTATTGGATTGATCTTTTTCATTCCTTTTCCTCAACCAGTTTGTATATTATGTATTCTATTTCTATTATTTTAGTTGCTATCCATAATTTTTTAATATACGCCCCCAACTTAGATTTTTTAAAGTTGGTAAGTATGTAAACTTGCCTTCTCAGCCTAATTCTGTTTTTTTCCCCCAAGGTTCTATAGTAGTTAAAGCATTCCTTTTGTGTGTCTTAAAAATGCCTTTATTTTGCCCTCATATTTAAATGTTAGTTTAGTTGAGTAGTGAATTACTGACTAGTAGTTATTGGTTAAAACATAATTCCATTGTCTTTTAGGTTCTGTTGTTGGTAAGAGTTCTGCTGTCTACTTGTTCTGTATTTTCCCTGTGGGGAAAACTCAGAGAATGAAGGTATATGGCCCCCAGGCCATGTGGTGTGTGAGGAAATGAACAGGCTGGCAATCAGCAGCTGACCAATGGATGGGTATAGAAGAAAAGAAAACCTCTACTATGAGAGGTCCCAGGGGAAACTGTGCCCTCTAAGGAAGGCTATTCTCAAATAACTCAAAGAATAGTGATTTTGCAGAGGTAGAAGTTCCAGAAGAATTTCTCCAGAGTGGGCTAAGCATTACAGAGACTCTGAGGGAAGGATCAGGAACAGAAAGGCTGATCAGAAAGGGATGAGTTAGAATAATAGAGTACTATTCAGGGAGGACAGAATGGAAAATTGGGAGAAACTTGAATTTTGCTAGTGACTGTTGATGAGAAAGATTTAAAAATGTATGAGAATTAACAGACTCAAAAATTTTTTTTAAAGATTTTATTGATTTATTTTTAGGGAGGGAAGGGAGGGGGAGGGGGAGAGAGAGAGAGAAACATCAATGTGCGGTTGCTGGGGGTTATGGCCTGCAACCCAGGAATGTACCCTGGCTGGGAATCGAACCTGGGACACTTTGGTTCCCAGCCCACTCTCAGTCCACTGAGCTACGCCAGCCAGGGCTCAGACTCAAAATTTTTATGTGAAATTATTATGTCAAGTTATTTTAAATTCCACCATGGGCTGAAACCCTGGGTAGTATGAGAACACTGATAATCCTAAAAACTTTGACCTGTCTTCAGGATTCTGTTTAAATTGTTGATCAGTGTCCAGGCTTACCTTTTCTCCTGATGTTTTGAGAAGAGGGATGAAGGAGAAGTAGGAACTCCTTCATCCTGATGCCCCTTCACTTCTTGATGGAAACACACCACCATGGCTCAGGGTATCTGTACCTCCTATTCTGGAACCAACAATACCCTGAAAGGTTCCATCTCTGAAGCAGTCCTGCTGCAGGTGACAGGGAGGGACTTTAGCTCAGGCAGTCTTCACCTGTTGCTGGAATAGCAGTAGCCCAGGTAGGTTAATGGGACCTCTGTGCCTCTTCTTGATGCATAAAAAAGTTTGGAGCCTACCCGTCTATTAAAGAAATATCTTTTATTTGTTAATTCTTTTATTCATTCCTTCCAGAAATATTTATCATGAGTCTGCTAATGCCAGGCACTGTTCTGGGTGTTGGGGATACAATGGTGGACACAGGAGTCTTGTCCCTGTGTTCTCAGTGCTTGAAGTCTACCGAGAAAGCTGCTTAAGTGAACAGGTCTGATGGGGTACTAAGAGCTAGACTTGCTCTCACTTTTAAAATAAATTGTTTAGAGCATAGTCACAAAGTATCTGTTTCTGTGTTCCTAACAATCTGTCAAAGGGAGAAGTGAGTAAGGTACATTTTATTGATCTTGCCAAATTGCTGCCTATTAACTTTAACTTCAGAAGTATTCCACAGATGTTAAACAAGTGTTTGTGAGCTATTGCAGCTTACTAGTTAGATGGAATGCTGCATGACAGAGAGTTTTTGGAAGACTGGTTACTTTAGGGAGATGGCTTCCAGGGGGATTATCATAATTCTGCCATAGTTGACAACTTTGGATATGTGCTTCAATAGCAGGACTTAAGGTCTTCTGTGATTTATTTAGAAGAAAACTCTTCTGTATGTGGAATCCATGAAAACTATATCTGTGAGGATCAAAAAACATCATGCTTTGAGTTACTGTTAAGTGTTTTATAGACCTGTGGGACCAGATTAATCAAAAGAATAATCAGTGGAGTTTTTTTTAAAGATGATTATGTTATAGACATGATACAGTCTTCACTATCAATCTTTTCCCTCCAGGTTACCACTTAAATTAGTAGTATCTAATGAAGGCCGTATAGCTAGTTTGACTCTGAAGGTTCCCTGTTAGGTACACAGAGAGACATGATGCATGATGTTTGCCCACAGAGAATTTATATGATTTGAAAGATTATAAGCAAACATGGAAGGATATCTAATTATATAAGTGTTCAGTAAATGTCTAGAGTGGGGAAGTATGTCTTTGGCCTGTATGAGCAAAATTCATATGAATGAAGAGTGATAGGAGGGGTGGGGGTGCATTCCATGGAGGGAAAGGAACAGGTGTGAACACAGAGAGGGTGATACATAAGGCCAGTTGACATTTTAATAGGGAGTAATAGAAAGGCAGGTTGGAACTAGTCTGGATGGTTTTGAGAGTCAGGCTTAAGAATTTGGACATCTTTGTAACAAGAAAGATATAACCACAGTATGAGAGCAGGCCAATTATTAGTTTATTCTATTTAATTCTAAATTTGCAACCTTGAACCTATTTCACCAAGAGACACATTTTGAAAGGTATTATGAGTATAATTTCTGTATGTTCCTTTTTTCATCATGGGTTTTTATCTTGCAGGAGGGGTTTTTCCTACAAGGACAAATTAAAGTTATGGCAAGCAAGTAACTCTTCTGACTATTGTTATAACATAAGCTAGAGTCAGTGTTTATTTGAAACTTATTCTGACACAGTGGGAAAAGTACTAAACATTAAGTGGCTTAATATACTACTTTATGTAGCATGGACACAAAATAAAGGACACAAACGCATAAGAGATTTCTGGGGGCTAGAATATCTAGACTAATAAAACTTCAAAAACATTGCCTTTTGTATGCATTATCTTTCATATGCAATTTTCAACAGATATATTTTTCTTTTTGTGATAGTAATTTGCGTTATTAAAATACTTCAAAGATTAAATTTTCTATACCTGTTCTTTTCAATGGCTAGCAAAAAAAGCCTCCAAATTTCGAGACTGGTTGGACTGCAGCAGTATGGAGATAAAACCCAATGTCATTGCTATGGAAATTTTAGCATATTTAGCGTATGAAACTGTGGCACAGGTAAGAGTTCTGATCTGTCATATCAGTCCATACATGGCTGCTTTCTCCTTACCCCTGTCCATGACCTATCCTTACACCACCTGCTTCGCTCCCAGGACTGAGAGCAGCCGTCAGCTTTCCCCCAAGACAGTCTTGCAATTTTCTGAGATTTAGTTCAATTATGTTTTTTTGCATCCTCAGCTCTGGTGAGTTTTAGGGTAAAAGTGACTTTTTTGCAACTCTATTCTAACCAGAAATGAAACCCTAAATGTTTTTTCTCAACATTGAATTCTAGGTACACATCTGCCATGTTTAGAGATTTTTATCTTCTAATAATGCTTTTCTAAATATGTTCAACCTTCTTGAATGGATGCAAAAATCTGAATCTAGAATACATGCCTTCTACCAGTTTCTCAAAGCATGGCCCTTAGGCCACAGCATCAGCATCCCCTTGGTTCTTGTTTCAAATGTAAATTCCTAGATTACATTCCAGAGCAGATGTACTGAATTAGAATATTAGGGCTTGGAGCCCAGAAATCTGTATTTTAAAGTGATTCTTTAGTGGTTTTGAAATAAGGTTTGAGAATCACTCTGCTGGAAGGTCATAATATATCATTTCTCTTCATGGGTCTGTCTGTTTCCCAGTCAATGAAAGCATATGCTCTTCTCCACAATACAGATTTTTAGGCAGACAGTAGTATTATCAATAACTTTTGGAACGTATTGCTTTTAGTTTTGCTACTTCAGTGGCATAGATGATTGTTTCCAGCTATGTGACTTTATTTTCGTTGCTCTGATCTAGTTAGTGGATCTGGCTCTTCTTGTGAGGCAGGACATGGCAACCAAGGCAGGAGACCCATTCGGCCACGCCATTTCGGCAGCCTTCATCCAGTACCACAGCTCTGCCGAGGTAAGCACCAAAAAGTCTGATGCATCTGTGGATTCTTTCCTCATGTTCGGTATTTACATTCATGTTGCTTTGGAAAAGATTACGTAGGAATTTACCATATTTTTGCCATGTATAATGCACACTGCTTTGCCCAAATTTTTGAGGGAAACACAAGGATGTGCATTATACATGGGTATACTAATCCTGTGTATAATGCACACGAAACGTGGGTGCACACTATATGTGGCAAAATACGGTATGGCCTTTAGCCCAAAAATCTTAATACAGTCAACATTCATATATTTATTGAGAACCTACTATGTGCTGGGGCCTAACAGTCCACTTAAGAAAATGATTTTTTTCATCTTTTCTTTGCCTTATTTAGCTTTTCTATAGTCTTTCAGTGAAAAGGGCACTTCTCATTTCCATGGGAGATTGAATAAGGTTGAGAAAAGTTATTTATTTCCTTGTCCCTCAAAGATGAGAGGATTATTGTTCATGTAATAATTCCTGGTATTTATTGATAATTTCACATCTTAGTTAATGACCATCTCTAAATGTGATTTGGAGAAGCATGGCCGCATTTACCCTTTGTGTGAATAGGCCCCGCCATCTAAAGATCACACCTCTCCTGACCCAGTCCATGTTGCCGAGACCCCCAACCTTAAGGCCTTATATAATTTCAGTATAAAAAATATTCTCTGGAAACCGCATGTGCCTAAAAACCAGAAATGGAATATCATCTATTGAATTAGTTTGCCAGTATTAGACCTTTTTTACTAGCAAACACTTTCACATAATTCAACCTAATATCATAGAGAAGGCAGCAGGGAGGTGAGATTGATATCTGCATGTAAAATCGTGGAGTGAGCTATAGATCAAGTTGGGTGAGTCATATGACCTAAAACTGGACAAGGCCCTTTGAAAATTTGGTGAAAATGTAAACCCTTTCCCCATAAACACATTTGCAGATTTTGCACACAATTTCAGGGTGTTCAAAGACCCTCTGAAATCACTCTGGGGACCCAAGGGATCTATGAACCCACAGACTCCAGGTTCAAGTGACTCTGCTCTGGGCTACTCAGTAACTCTATAAAGATACATGCCTCTGTGGCATGTTATTACAAGCCAAAAACCTGACATCTTTTTATGCCCCTTAAAGAATCAGATTGGTTTAGAATCCAAGTAGGAATTAATATGTTTATGCCTATTAAAAATCCATTTTTTCTTGGAAAAGGCTATACATCATTATCAGTCAGCATACTTTACAAGTCCCTAAAGATTACTCAGTTGATTAAACACTATTTGTTTATGTTAGAACCCAAATTATGATGTCAAGAACACCCTTTAAAATGTCTTTGGTACATGTTCACTTTATGAATATGTGTAATGAGTATGCTTTTCATTGACATCAGACAAATTTGTTGTAACATTTCTAATTGAAGAAATGTAAGTGAACATAACAAGCCTAGTTTTCTCTTAACATTTAAGGGACTGCTTGCATGGCTAGGAAAACTCTTTATTTCCCTCCCCCCTCTCTTGGCTCTCCAGGGTGGCCAAGCTGCCCTGGGCAACTGCTCAGCAACCACAGCCGCTGTTCCCAGCTACCCAGCAGTTAAGAAAAATGGTCTGTCTATGTGTGCTGGGTTTCCTGGGCTCTCTGGGAGGTGGGAGCATGAGTGTCAGAAAGCATCCTGACTAAATATGTTGGTACAAGCCTCAGGCTATTCCCTTGCTGCCAGACACCGCTCCTCCTATGTGACTGGTAGTCAAAATGAACATTCAGAGGGACTAGAAGTGTTCCTGCCCTTCATTACCTGCTAAACACGAAGAGAATGGCCATTCTAAAATGGGAGTCTTACTCATCACCATTACAAATCAGCAACCAACATCAAGGTCCTTTTAAGGACTTTACCAACCTGGGTGCAAAGGGGAACTCTGGAGACCAGTAAGATCTCTCTTCAGGGAGGTAAAACAAACAAGGAAATATATGAGCGAGCAAGCAAGCAAATAGTTCAAAATAGCATTTACTAATTTCCAAATGAGTGGCATAGACAGAGTGCAAAGGTAAAAAACACTTCCTAATTACAGTCAAAGAAGACTTCAAAGAGGAAGCTGGGTGTTGAAGGAGAGGTAGGACTTTGACAAGATAGTGAAAGTGAGGAGAATATTCTAGGCATCAGAGGCACCATCAGTATAAGTGTACAAAGAAAAAAAAACTCTGATTAAAATATTCAAGCACAGGATGCACTGAGGACAGGTAGTAGAAAGTTAGATAAGAAAATTAAGGCCTTAGGCACTTAGTTACTAAGGAAGTGTTAAAGGTTTCTTGGCTAAAGGGTGATGAGTTCAAAAGAGTTTTTAAGAAGATCCAAGTGGAAATGCTATGGTCAGTGAATTGGAATTGGAAATGTAAGGAATGGAATTAATACAACATGCATTCTATTTTAATGATTATCATTTCTAAATGTTAAATATGTAAAGAACTAACTGAGCTAGTTAAGCTTGGGTGCCCGTATTAAATTAGCAAGTTTAATATTGATTCAAGTTAATATTGTAGATTTCTTTCCTAACATGATTTGTGCACAGAAAGGAAGGATCTTTAGGGCCTCTCTTGTTTTTCCTAAGAACAACTCATGCCAGACTAGCTTCTTCCTTCCTGTTTGATCATGTTTCTATGCAAGTAGATCAAAGAAATGCTCTTGAAAGCAACATCTGAATTTCAGCACAACATTTTACAAAGTTTGGCATAATTGTTTTTAAAAAATTATAGAGAAGTGTAGGCCAGTAGATGGTGTGGTTAGGATGTGATAGGATGACATAGATTATTAGTACCGTTATGTGAAAAAAATACTTATATCTGCCTGTAAATTTCCTAGGCACTGGTCTTGTGATGTTACAGTAAGGAAACTTCTTCGTTGTAGTGGTTAGGCACTATCTTAAGGACGGAGGTTGATGCAGTGGAGGATGTGTGAAGGAGAGTGAACAGGGGGGAAGGAATCTCAGAACATGTATTAGTGGCTCAAGGAACTGAGGTGTTTGGCTTGTATGAAAAGGTATGAAATATAACAGTCTTCAAATACTTGAAGTGCTTTTGCATGGAAAAGAGAATACTCTTATAGTCATAGCCAAAGAAACCAAATAGATATGAGGGATTTTATGAAGGAAGGAAGGAAGGAATTAAATGTGGGAGGAGCTAGAGGCATCTACAGTGACCCCAAGATATAGGAGAAGGCTGGTCATCATGGATATAAAAATGTCTGGAGGCATCCAATCAGGGGGTGCAGTTTTTATAGGTTCTTTTTGAAACATGTAAGTTTGAAATGCTAATAAAACTTCTAAATAGAAATGTCTGTATCCAACAAAATCTACAGAAATTTTAGAAGCTGTATCTGAAGATTCCTGATTATATCTAAATGATTAGACAGATTAAAAATTAACATATTTAGCCCTGGCTGGCGTAGCTCAGTGGATTGAGCGCGGGCTGTGAACCAAAGCATTGCAGGTTCGATTCCCAGCCAGGGTACATGCCTGGGTTGCAGGCCATGACCCCCAGCAACCGCACATTGATGTTTCTCTCTGTCTCTCTATCTCCCTCCCTTTCCTCTCTAAAAATAAATAAATAAAATCTTTTTAAAAAATTAACATATTTAGCCCTGGTTGGTGTGGCTCAGTGGATTGAGTGCCGGCCTGCAAACCAGAGGGTCGCTGGTTCAATTTCTAGTCAGGGCAAATGCCTGGATTGCAGACCAGGTCCCCATTAGGGCACTGAAGAGGCAACCACACATTGATGTTTCTCTTCCTCTCTTTCTCCTTCCCTTCCCCCTCTCTAAAAAATAAATAAATAAAAATCATTCAAAAAATAAAATAGAAAAACATATTTAGACCCTTAGAGGCAAGGTGGGGGCATCATTTCTGTCAATAGGATAATAATATATTGTTTTTATATTTGTAAGTTTCAAATAGTATTAAATTCATGAGATACTAAGTAAAATCAAATGTTAGTAGACATTCTGGTCACCTGATTTCAAAGCCATGTTTCTTTGAGCAGGGATCTTGCATAAAGTCTTACCCTGACTCTCCTGAGAATACCCCCCCTCCCACACCAACGGCTCCATCATCTGGATCGCAGCACTCAGGGAAAACCACAGCAGCATCCCTGGGGAATGGGAGTGCTGGGCAAGACTCAGCTAAAACCAAGCAAAGGAAAAGAAAAAAGGTCAGTGATTTTTTCCTTCTCTCTCTCTCTTGCTCTCTCTCTCTCTCTCTCTCAGAGTAAAGAAAGTCTTGTTGTGTTGTTTTTAAAGATAGTGGAAATGTACTCTGTTTTTCTCATAATTCAGATTTTTAGAAGCAGCTAACTTTTACTTAACCATACTTAATGACTTCTACCCAAACTTTAACAGCTTTCTTGTGGATAAAGGAAGATATTGAATTTTTTAACATTTTATTTTAAAATTTCAAACATACAAAAGTTAAAAGACTTGTAGATTCTACAATTAACATTTTACTATATGTACTATGTTAACTATATATTTACATTTACTCTATGCATCATATTGTTTCTTTATTCATCCATTCAATTTTTTTTTTGATACATTGCAAAGAAAGCTGCAGACATCAGTGTACTTCAGGCCTAAATGCTTCATTACGTACAATTTGTTTATGGGTTTTTTTTAAAGGTGAAATTTATACTACACAGTGAACCATTCAATTCTTAAATATACCACTTGATGAATTTTGACAAATATATAAACCTGTTGTTTTCTAAACCCCTCTCAGTTCAGAAAGTTTCTTCATGTCTCCTCCCAGTCAGTTTTTGCCACCTCTCTTAGAAAGGTGTTCTGATTGCTTTCCATCATAGATTAGTTTGTTCTGTTCTAGAACTGCATTTGGGATATTTTTGAAATTTATGTTTTTAGTAGTAAGGTAATGTATTTCTATGTGTTGCCAAGTAATGTTCCCTTGTATGAATATATCAGTGTATTCCTTCTCATGTTGGTGGACACCTCAGCACTGTCCAGTTTTTGAGGTGTTATGAATAAACCTCTTATGACCGTTATTGTGCAAGGTCATGGGAAAATACTTTTGCTTCTCTTAGGTAAAGAGTTAGAATGAAATGACTGGGTCATAGAGTAGGTACGTATTTGGTTTTTAAAGGAACTGCAAAAATTTTTTTTTCCAAAATGATTCTATCATTTTTACCTCCACTAGCAATATATGAGAGTTTCAGTAGCTCCATGTGCTCATCAGTGTTTGGTGTTGTCATTGTTTTTACTTTTCCCCATTCTAATGGATATTTAATAGTGAATCATTATAGTGTGAATTTGCATTTCCCTGGTGACCAATGATGTTGAGCATTTTTTTTCATGTGCTGATGGCTATTCATATATCTTCTTCAGGGAAGAGTCTTCTCAAATCCTTTACACAGTATTTTTGAGGAGGGGTTAGTTGTCTTTTCTTAGTAACTTGTAGGAGTTTTTTTTATGTATTCTATGTAACAATCCTATGTCAGATAAATGTTTTTTACATACTTTCTCCTAGTCTCTGGCTTAATGGTGTGTTTAGATGAGCACAAGTTTTGAATCTCTGAAGTCCAATTTATCCAATTTTTTCTTTTGTTTATTGCTTTCTCTGTCCTGTCTAAGGAACCTTTGGCTACTCCCAAATTATGATGATGTTCTCCTATATTTTTTTCTGGAAGCTTTATAGCTTAACTTCTATACTTCTATTAATCAAAGTCAGATTAACCATTGTGTATTACATGAATTGAGGCCAAGTTCACTTCTTCACATATGGATATCTAGTTATTGCAGAACCATTTGTTAAAGACTCTTTTCTTCCATTGGATTGCTTTGGTGACTTTGTTATAATCAAATGACAACCTATCGATGTTGATTTACTTTTGTAATTTCAGTTTTGTTTCATTGACTATTTGTCAATCCTTTTGTCAGTGTCATCTTTATTATTGTAGCTTTATAATAAATTTTAAAGTCAGGTAGTATAAGTCCTCAAACTTCATTTTTCAGGTTTAATACGGATTCGCTGTGTCCTTTGCATGTATATAAACTTAGAACGAACTTGTTAGTTTCTATCAAAAAAGAATCAGGCAGGGGAAAGTGAGAGAAAGAGAGAGGAAGGCAGCAAAGGGAAAAAGAAAGAGAAAAACCTAGTAGGATTTTGAAAGGGATTAGATTGAATGCTTACATCAATTTGGGGTATGAATGTCTTAACATTACCAAGCATTACAATCCATGAACATGGCATATCTCTCCACTTACTTATCTTTATAAAATCTCTCTTTATCACTAGGAATACTATTTATCCTAAACTGTGTTTTATCTGATTAATATAGCCATTGCAGCCTCTTTGTGCTGTTTATATGATACACGTTTATCTATTTTCTTTCATTATATCTGTATCTATAATATTTAAAATAGGTCTCTTGTAGACAAGAAATAATTGGGTCTTGCATCTTTTCCCTTTTTTTCTGTGTGTATCTTTTAATTACAGTCTTTAAGTCCCTGATATTTAACGTTATTCATTGAAATGGTTGGATATAGATCAACTATTTTGCTCTGTTTTCTGCTTGTTCTATTTTTGTTTCTCTCTTTTTTCCTGCCTTCTTTTGGGTTAATTATGTGCTCTTTTAGAAATCTGTTTTATATACTGGTATCTTTGTGATATCTCTTTTCGTCATTCTTTTCCATTGGTTATGCTAAGAATTCAATATGCATCCTTAAATTTTTGGTGTACTTAGAGTTGTTATTGTGGAGCTCCACTCACCTTAAACACGAGACTATTGTGTCTGTTTACTCCATCTATGTGGCTCCTGCTCTTCCTGCTAGGATTGTCCAGCAGCTTACATCTACATACGTTATAACCCGTAATACTACTCTTTGCCTTAAACAGTCACATGTATTTTAGCGAAACTAAGAGGGAGAAATAGACTCTAACATCTACCATTTCCATTGTTTTTCATTTCTTTTGGTTTATCAGAATTCCAGTATCATTTTTCTTTTTTTGTTCTGCTAAACTTTAGTTAGCATTTGTAATAGTGCAGGTTGGCTGGCGATAGTTTCTCTTAGTTTTCCTATTTCTGAAAATACCTTTACTTCCCCCTTACTCCTGGAAGACATTTTCACTGGATATAGAAGTCTGGATTGACAGTTTCATTTTCAGTACTTTAATGATATCATTCCACTATTTTCTGGCATTTGTTATGTTTTATTGTATGTCTATAGGTTTTATACTATTGTTTCTGTGTATGTAACGTGTTATTTTTCTCTGGATGCTTTCAGGATATTATCATTACATTTTATTTTCAGCAGTTTGACCGTGATGTACATATATATGGTTTGCTTTGTATTTATTCTGCTTAGAGGTCACTTAGCTTCTTGAATATTGGTTTATGTGTTTAATGAATTTGGGGGAATTTTCAGCATTTATTTCTTCAGATATTTTTTCCACATCATTCTTTCTATTGTCCACTTTTGAGACTCTAAGTATATATTTGTTACTTTAATATTCCACAGGTACCTGAGGCTCTGTTTAATTTCCCTTTTAATCTTTTCTCTATTTTTATCAGGTTGGATAAATTCTTTATGTTCCTGATTCTTCTGTTGGTGCCAGTCTACTGTTATATCCATCCAGTAATGCTTTATTTCTAATAGTTTTATACTTTCCATGTGAATTCTCTTCACAGTTTCTATCTACCATTATTTTTATTTGTCATTTATTAAAAGCTTATTTTCTTTTATGTTCTTGAGCAAAGTTATAATAGGTGCTTTAAAAATCTTGTATGATAAGTTAAATATCTGAATTATTTTAGTCTCCAGCGAGTATAAGTCACACTCTCTTAGACTGTTGCATGTCTAGTAATTTTGAATTACATTCTGGACATTGTGAGTAGTAGATTGTAGAGATTTCAGATTCTGTTATATTCCTGTAAAGAGAGAATTCTTATTGGTAGTGGTGTGTGTATGTGTGTGTGAAACAAGTGGTTTAGTTTTCTAGGCTCACATCTGAGCTTCAGACTCCTCTTCAGCGGCAGCAGCTGGACTCTCCCTTTACTTCGTTTAGCCTCCATGTGTTTTCTTGGGTTTGGTGTCACACGGGGATGGTTCAGGAGTTAGTGAAGGATTGGGGTAACTTAATCACTGATTCTAGATTCTGCCCTTTGTGGGATTTCCCTCCTCACTTTATGTAGGTCTCGGAGCCTCTAAGTGTGTGTGCCCCTCTAGTGACAGAGCCTGCCTGCCCTTAGGTTAAAATGGCGACAACAGGAAACCTACCTCATTGCCATGACACTCTTCTTGCACCCACCACGTCCAGTTTCCGCCTCATTTTGGTCAATCTCTTGTGCCTTCAGGTACCCATTTTTTTAACAATTTGTCTAAAGTTTTTACCTTCACCTATAACTAAGTTGGCACAACAAGAACTATTTGCCATGGCAGACAGTGGAACCGTGCCAAGATGTCACTTCATAATGGAGAGTAAGCAGATTTAATTTTTGGCCTCATCTGGTTTCCCCCTTCATTTACAAAATGACACAGCTTGCTTATTTGTGAAGGGAAAATCCCAACTATAAGGAATTTCTATCTTATAAAGTACTTGTAAAGAAGTTCTGCTATAGTGCTAACTCATTCAGTAACTACAAGTAAGGTAACAAAATGTTACCTAAAAAACTTCTCCAGTGGACTTGCTTTACAAAGTATGTGAGAAATTGTAATTAACTTGGTACTTATACCTACATAAAATAATTCTTTATAAGTTTAGATATTCTTGACATTTCTTTCTCGTAAATATTTAAACAGTTCTCTCCTGATCTTGTTGAAGCTATTAAATCAGAGTTATTTTACAGCAGAGGTCTCCTGAAACAAGGAATTTTCAGGAAACAAGTTGGCCTCATGCATATCTGAATTTCCCTAAAATTAAAGTTACTGGCATCAAAATGAATAATGTTTCACTTCAAAAGTATTCTTTATTTCTCTATTTACTCATACACATTCTTCTACATTTGTACATTTTTGCTATATTTTTATTCTTACTCACTGGAAACTTCAGCTGTGGCAGTAACATGGTACAATTCAATCTACATAAAATAATAAAACCCCTATTTATATACCAGCTGTGTGTGCAGGAAGCTGGGAGACTTGATGCACAGCCATATTCTGATTCTGTCATGGTGATCGCGAGCATGTCCCTTGTCTTTACTCTCTCATCTGTTAAAAGGGGCAGGGATGGGGGAAGGTTAGAATAGGTGATATTTTGTGTTCCTTCCAGATTTAAGAATGTATGAATCCTTGAAAGTTCAGTGATTCTCTTTTGTCTAATCTTTAAATACTATTTCTGCTTTTAATTTCTTTAAAGAAAAGCTTTTCCTAGTTATATAGAACTGCAATTTTAACCATTAACATCTCAATTAAACTTTAAACTGAAAAAATTTATCACATTATATACTGTGCCCTTTGGCCAAAGAACAGCCCACTTTCATCTGAAAAGAAATTCTCTCTAATCACAAAGATCTGGGAGAACGATATATAAAATAAGGAGAAAGACTCTTGCCTGGTCAGTCCAATTATATACCAACCGTGGTGGTCAGTGACTGACAGAAGTGTCAGTAATAGTAGTACTAGCCTTCCATTTGCTCTAAGCTGAGATATGTGTTGCTCCTTTGTAAGACTTAATATTTCAAGTGTAACAAAAGATGTAGTCTACCATTTTGGTGGGGAAAGAATAAGAGGCAATCATCTGAGACTTCACATCCTTTTTTTTTAAGATTTTATTTATTTATTTTTATAGAGGGAAGGGAGGGAGAAAGAGAGAGAAAGAGAAACATCAATGTGAGGTTGCTGGGGGCCATGGCCTGCAACCCAGTCATGTGCCCTGACTGGGAATCAAACCTGCGACACTTCGGTTTGCAGACCGTGCTCAATCCACTGAGCTACGCCAGCCAGGGCTTCACATCCTTCTTAAACATTGGATTACCCTGGCAAGGGAAAGGCTGAACAAGAATAGGATGATTTTACCTTGCCAACAACTTCTAAGTTGGAAAGAAAAGAGTCAGGACATACACATTTGTAGTAAATCCAAGGGCAACAGAAATTTCAGTATAACTTATTGTACTGCAGGTGAGAGTTCAAACTGCAAGAGATTGTATTCAGTGCAAGCCAGCGAGGACAAGTACAGGGACAGCACAAATCCAGGAAATACATAGGACTTCAGCTTCCAGTATCCAGCATTGACTTCTGGATGAAGAGACATAAATAAAGATAGAATGGAGGGAGACAAGAATGGAGTATGAATTCAGCCAAGAGGAAGGGGACCTGACTTTGAAGAACTTTACCTTGTAGCTTGTACTTTACTTAAGTCAATAAAGAGTTTAGGCCCAGCAGAGATTTCGGCAACTGTAGCTAACAGGAATCAGTATTTTGTCACATATGTGGGCTACAGTTTTAAAAATGTAAAGAATATCCTAAAATGTGGACACAATCAGAATAGGAAACATGAATTGATATATAAATCTAATAACCTTCAAATGTGTTTATAGCAAATGTAAGATTTCTAATATTAGACAACAAATATATAAATTCAATGCTAATTCTTCTGAGACAATTATGAAGAATATCACAAAAATGCTAGAGTCACTGCTAAATTAAAAATTTTAAACTTGGTATGAATTGTGAATTTGAGGAAGATATTTGTTGGGATGGAAACAGTACCAGGAATACATTTGAGATTCAAAGGTTCCCTTCCAGAGAGCCCAGTGGGCAAACCAGTAAGTGCAGAAGTGCACATGGCAACTTCAGGCTGAAGTTTGCAGTTGTTCACGCAGAGCAGAATGGTAGAGCTAAACACATTTTCACAAAATTGAGTATTTTTATTTTTTTATAAGTTAACTTCATCTTTGTGGCGCAGAGAGCATGGCTCTGCCAGGCCTGCGTGCTTGTCCTGAGGCCGTGCAAACAGCAGTCACAGGTGGTTTCTAACTCACGCTTCCTCCTTCAGTGTTCTCAGATCCTGCCTGGCAGCCACGCGCAGGCTCTGAGAGTGACCGAATGCTCTATACCAAAACCAAATTAGCTGGGAAAGTAGAGGATGAGTAGAACCCCCACTGGCCATGAAGAAAAATGAAACATAAATTCACTTTGCAAGGAGAAAGGAGGGGCCCTAGAGGGATGCACAAGATGGAATTCCCGCCCCACTCAGTATGCAGGGTACTGGCCCTCTTGATGGCTCTCTTTCTATTTCCACTTGAGTTTCCACTAGGAAACTTACTTTAGATTCCAAATACAGCTAATTATTTACGTTCATTTCTGCACATGGATGGAATGCCTCAAGTTCCTTCATAAGCATTTGTCATATGTAGCAGACTAATGAGTCTAATGTATGTAGGTACATTAGTCATATTCACATTTTGGAGCCACATGGACTCACAGAAGTGTCTTTACCTTAGTCAGGCACCTGATAATTGCATTTATTCTGGGATATTCCAACTGAAACAAAGAATGTGGAATAAGAATCAAGAAAAAACCCTGTGCACTTTTATATCAGTGCCAAAGTATGGGTTTGACCTGTGTTACTATATAACTTAATCCGTGTTATTGTGGGCATAGCAGGTATGTTATTTAGGGTATTGCTGGAACGAAATTGAGAAAGATACCCTAGAGTAAATTCCTATTTGGCTTATTTCACATCTTGTTAAAATAGTAAAAATAAGATCTATTTTGTTTGAAATTTTAAATCTTATTTTAGGTTCAGCTTGGATAATTAGCAGATGCTCTTGTTTTGTAAGAATTTTAAAATTATTTTACTAGTTTGTGATAGGAAAAGTGTACACAAAGTGCAAAAAAGAAAAAGTATATTTTAAAAGTACAGAATATACAGTGAAAAATGTCTCTTCTAAGCCCCTGTCCTCCAGCCACCTATTTACACCCCGAGAGGTAAGCACAGGCACTGAGTTTTGGTGTACCCTAGAAGACATACTCTTATGTTCAGATGAGTATGTAATGTTCAGCGTCCTTTTTTTTTTAACAAGTGGTAACACAGTGCCACCCTGTTGTATACCTTGTGTTATTTCACACAATACGCACGTTAGAGACAGGATACATAGAGGTCAATAGGAGTACGCATGCAACTGTGTTATCCTTTTTGGCGGTTTCTGTTACAATGAATAGATGTATTTATTATAGCTTATTTAATTGTTCCCTCATTAAAAAGATTTAGTTCACTAAGCCAGTGAATATCCTTATATGTGTATATATTATTTTATACCTCTGTAGCATACCCATGGAATAAATTTTTATACTGGATCAAAGTGATTGTGCTTTCTCATTTTGATAAGATTTTGCCAAATTGCTATTGGATTAATTATACCCCTACAAGGAATTATGAGAGTGGTAACTGTAATAATTATCAGAAAAACAAATAATCTTCATTATGTGACTATGAATGACTTCTAGACCACAGTTATAGTAATATAAAAGCTACTATTTCTTTCTCTTATTTCTTTAACATTGTTAATCTGACATCTGGTATCCCCCGCAATTATAATTATTGCCTCGGTTTCACAGATGAGGAAACTGCAGTGCAGAGCTACTATATGACTTGAAAGAGTGGGTACGTGACAGGACATGAACCCAGCTAGTTGGGAGGCTAGAGCCTGCAACTGAACCAGGAGTGTACAGCGCTCCTATGGTGCTTTTAAAAAGCTTTTTAAAATCATGTTATATATATTTCTTGAGTTTGTATCCATATTCTCATTACAAATAATTTTTCTCCTGCTTATATCTTTCTGTACTCTAAAACCTACCTTTCACAGATGAAGCGGATTAAAATAGAAAGTTTTTATTTTCAGTTTTGTCCTGAGGACACCTAGAAATTAGCACCACATTGAAATGATCTTTTATGACCATCCCCCATATTATAAATAAATGTATAGCAATTTTACATTTTTCATTTTAAAATTGATGACCCTTGAGTTATGTCAGAAATATGTCCAACAAGCTCCAAAGGAAACATTTATAATAATAAATGTTTGATTTTTGAAAAATAACTCCTGTGGTTCTTCCAGCAAGCCCCTGACACTTCATGCGCGTGCAAGCTGCTGTATTCTCCTGCACCTCGAGGTGAGCCTCGGGGTGACACCGTGAGCATAAACATTGCTGTCGGTAGGTCTGCTAGGAAGGAGTCAGATAAAAGTCATCTTTGATTTGTTAATGGATTTCTTTTTGGATGTAGGATATACGTCAGCAGTGCTGTGCATCCTAAAGGAAAAACCATCCATTTTCATAAAAGTTTATTTTCATATTTTGTACACTGCAGTTCTGTTGTGTGTTTTTGATTTAGTAACAGTTCATGTGTTTTTCTGTCGCAGAGCACTGCGGCCTGTGGTGTGGAGGCTCACAGCGATGCCATCCAGCCCTGCCACATCAGAGAGGCCATCCGGCGCTACGGCCACAGGATCGGCCCCCTTTCCCCGTTCACAGTACGTAATAACAGAGTTATAAAAAGTTATATTTATAATCTGAAAGAATTTTGATTTTCAAGTGGTCAAATGAAGAAGCAATGGAATTGTTGAAAGCAATTTGTGGTGACTGTAATTTTGTTGTATAAAAGTGGCATAATTCTCTTGGGAAATAAAAGTTAGTCATTTTTGTCTCTTTTTGGAAGGACAATTTTTTTCTACAAAATATTATTTTCTTTCAATTACAAATTATGCTTTTTTGTTGGAGCTTATATTTTCTATTTTTCAAAGCTTAGGTTTATAAAACTTTTTGTCAAATTATATGTATCCAAATATTGCTAGAAGCACTTTATATTTTAAAATTGGTTAGATTGGCAACACCACTTCTATCAGACGTCCTGCTCCTAAACACACTCTGACTTGGAAGAAGAAGAAATGATTTCTTCACTGGCTTTGAAGTAGCTGAAATGCAGACGGTCTTTCACATCTTCAAATGCTTTTAAAGCTTATAATCAGGGTTTGTTGTTGTTTTTTTTTTAAATAGAGAATTAAAGACTATATTTCAATAGCTTGAAGAAAGTATATGTGTATGTGTTAATTAAATGCTCATCTTGTGGCCCTTTTTTAAAAGTCCTTTATTCATGTTAATAGAACTATCTCCAAGTCCTTCTCTGTTTATAAGGAATTGATTTGATTTTTCAGAAAGTGAGGTTTGATTTGTGACTGAGGGACAGAGAACCTACCATTTATTTCTCTTTTTTTATTTACTTCTACTTTAATACACTGAAGCAAAATGTCTGTGTCAAACATTATACACATACACACATCACTATAACATATATAGGGTGGGGCAAGAGTAGCTTTATAGTTGTGAGTACACGAAAGAGTTCCTTCTTGTATTATTATTACTATTTAATGGTTATTGTATTTTTTCTATATGAACAACTGAAAACCTACTTTTGCCCCACCCTGTATACTTTAAACTAATATTTATCTAAGTAATATACAGCCAACATGCCTTTGAAACTAATGATGCAATTTTAAAATGCTTAATTTAAGTAGATCTGGAAAATAGAACAAATAAGCCATGACCTAGAAGGTTCACTGAGCCACCGCCTGAGCAGATGGGCAAAATCAGCAGCAGTAAATGGTAAAGAACTCCACCACAGAGGGGCACCCCAGTTTGTATCACTCCTCAGAAAGGACGCGCTTTGAAAGTCTTGCTTCATTTCCTAGAGCTATAAGAATTTTCCCAGCCTGCAAGACTAAATGTGCATATTCCATTTTATATCACAAGTAATAGGATCAGGAAGACAACAGAGTTTCAGCTGGGTGTGTGTGTGTGTGTGTGTGTGTGTGTGTGTGAGAGAGAGAGAGAGAGAGAGAGAGAGAGAGAGAGAGAGAATATATATACATATACCTGCCTATTTAAGTTTAAAATTCTCTTTAAAGTGGGATAGATTTGCAGCCTGTTTATGCTAACAATATGGCCACCCTGCCCTGGCTTTCATATACCTTCAACTGCCAAATGGAAGTGCTCCTGATGTTGGGGGTGCTGATGCTCAGTTCCCTGGTGCCCGCTCCCTAAGATGATGCTTTCTGTGGCTCCAGGGACACTGTGCTCCTAAGCTTTGAGCTGTAGCTCCTAAGAGGAAAGGACGCATGTGGACTGCCTCTATAGTTACCATAGATTGAGACCTAAATTTTCATACAGAAAGGCTAGGCTAACCTCCAATGTAAAATTTCATTTGTAAACTAAAATGCCCATGAGAAAATAGTTTATATTTATGAAACATAGAAATCTTGTTTCTATGCAACATGTCATTCTGAATCTAGAATGCTTGTCTGATGTATTTTTAAATAAGATGTCTAACCGATAGCGTCTATAACTTGATTCATATGTAGCCAATAATTCAAAATTCATTTGAAGAAGTAAAATAACCAAAAGGTTACACACAAACTGAATTCCAACATCAGTCAATAAACTCATAAAATGCTTGTAGTGAGGCATCATTCTGACTTACTATATCACTTTTGAAATAATTTATACAAAATCACAACATTATGAGTTTCAAGAATACAATTTACTGTATAGAGAATTGTGAGTTCTTCACCTCGGAAACTAGTTGAAATAATAGAAGAAATAAATGATTAAAACCCTCTTGGTTGGAGGAGAGGAAAAAGTACAAACAACCCTTTGCTCTGTGTAGCTACTGGAGTAAGAAAGGAAAGGGGTTACAATGTAAATATCAATTACTTATACCTCCTGTGAGTGTTGTGGAGACACTTGTAAATTCTATCTTGAGGCACGTTCTATTATTACATCCATTGTACAGACGAGGAAACTGAGCCATAGAGAGGTTAAGAAACTTTCTTAAGGCTGCTTAGCTAGTTGGTGGCAGAGCTAGGATCTGAACCCTGGTCATTTAGTTCTAGGATCAAGTCAATCACCACACAGTATAACCTCACATAATATCAATTACTATACGTAAAAGGACAATATAAGATGTCAAGCATCAAAATCACTTAGGACATTTTAGGTTGCATAAGTACTCAAAAATAACTACTATAAATCACAGACTCTGGAGTGATTTTCAGGATTACTTAGCAAAACTAAAAGATAAGCAGAATAAAATTAATTTCTTTAAATGTTCTTTAGCATGTGTATACAGAAGATCAGGCATATACAGGTGAGGACAGTTGCAAAAATGTGTGTTTTAGGAGGAAGATTTTTGGAGCTGGGAGTTGGAAGCCCTGAATTTTAGCCTTGGTTCCATCAATTAATCTAATCCATAGCTTGGCCTCAGGAAAATTACTTAAACCTTCTAGGCATGATACTTTCTCTGATCTTCTGCATAGGATTGAGAATATAGAAAAGGAAGAACTCACCAATTAAAGCCAATGTGCCAAAACAGTGCAGGCAGACTTTGGAGCTGTTGTGGGTTTGGCCCCACACCACCACAATAAAGAGTGTCACCAATAGCCAGATATAATTAGTGTTCTTGCTGGTGAAGGGTCTTGCCTTCAATATGCAAAAAATACAACATCTGTGAAGGGCAACAAAGCGAAGGCCAGTAAAATGAGGCATGTCTGCACTGTTAAAATTGGTTGAATGGGGATGGAGTATTATGAACTTCATATGTGGTAAACTCTTAATAAATCATATTAATAGCAGTAGAAGTAGCAGTGGTAGCTGTAGTATAGTTTCTAAAATGTGTAAGTATACAGATTAAAGTAGAATCCATTTCTTACACCATTCAGTCACTCACCCACATACACAGGCCTCACTTTGTAATCACAGAAGAAACTAAAATCTGAATAATATGATTTTTTTATAGACTAATAGTATATAGGCTATTAGTCTATAGACTAATAGATATAAACTTTATACCATTAAAAGTTAAGTACCATTTAAAGATTATTGTTCCTGAGAATAAATAGATACTCATTTTTACTTTGGGGATTAATAATGGTCGAAGAAAGTTAATTTTTCTTAATCATCATTATCACCTTAAAAACTAAGGTCTCAGTAACTGAATGCACATAGTTACCAATAGATTTTTGCATACTAGTTAGATTTTGTACACTAGCTCTTACGCAACAGAAATCTAAAGAGCAAACGTCACAGCCTCAAAGTTATAAAGCTTCATCAAATTCAGTTTTGATGAGTTTATAATTTGCATAATTTAAGAAGTTTTCAGGGACTGATAACTTTATCAGAGTTGGTGATAACTTTTTAAAACAAATTATTACTGGCCTCTATTTCCTCAGTATTTAAAATTTCTTCATTTTATTGTTTATGAAAGTAGTATTGGTATGTTAGAAAATTGAGAAAATACAGAAAAGTAAAGGAAGAAAACTTACATTAACAAGTGCATCAGGACTCATTGAACAAGGTGTAGCCAAAGCTTTAAGTGGATTGCCCTATTAGAAAATTAATATTTTTCATTTTTTTATTGTATTTTTTCCTTTGCCGTCTATCCTCCTCATATCCTCTTCCACCTCCACCCACCCCCACTCTCCTGCAATCCCTGCACTGTTGTCCTTGAAAAGTATTTTCTTTCACAGCCTAGAACTTCAAGTCTTTTGGTAATTTTTTTTAAAAAATAATATTCTTAGAGTTTACTTGTGCAACTTTAGACGTAAAAGACATTTTAAAATTTTGTGAAGGAAGTGGAGTTTTATAGTTAGGGCATTTTGTTTTTTCTCTCAGAGAAAATGCCCCAAAGGGTAACCCAGTGTATTGGTTGTCTATCATGTAGAAGGTGGTGAGACATATGTTTTATCTAGATCCTTGCAGTTTACAAACAGTGGGTGGTGCCCATGGTTACCTCCTCTGAAGCTCAGTCCCAGCTCTCAATGGGAAGTGCTGTGAATGGCTGATACAAAACCAGGTCTATAATTTTGAAAGCCAGAGAAAGGAAACTGTGTTCACTGAACGATGACATAATCCCATGTGTAATGCCTACATCTATCTTAGTTTCTCCTGAATGATATTCAGAGTAGAAAAATATGTTAGCCCCCTGAACTTACATGTTATCAGGTGGCTTTTTATTGAACCGGGGAAGTGAGACAGTGAAATTGCTCATGTGAGCATGGTTATTAACTTAAAACATCCTTAAGCACATCCCTAGAAGTAAGTTGCTTCAGTGTCCACTAAGCTATCTTAAATTCTGAGGCAGAATCCATAGTATTTTAAAGCTGGCTAAGGCTTAAGAAAGCTAGTTAGTTCAGTCTCAGAGCAGCGTTGCAGTGTACCCAAAGGCACCCTGTAGAGGAATGACAGGGCTGCCCTGGAGCCCAGCCCCCGAACTCTCTGTCAGTTTACTGCTCTTCCCCTGTGGCCATTCACTCTGATGTGCATCTATCTGTTACACAAGGATGCTCGTGTATCATTGCTTCTTCAGGTGTTCACAGCAGACTGGTAGGTCAAAACTATGAAATTTCTCACATGAAACATTTAAGAATTTCTCACATGAAGCTTTTAAAAACAAAAGTGGCATAGCAGATTGCTTTGGATA